TGTGTTGTGTTAGTGTATGCAGTGTGTGTGTGTTGTGTTAGTGTATGCAGTGTGTGTTGTGTTAGTGTATGCAGTGTGTGTTGTGTTAGTGTATACAGTGTGTGTGTTTGTTAGTGTATGGAGTGTGTGTGTTGTGTTAGTGTATGCAGTGTGTGTTGTGTTAGTGTATGCAGTGTGTGTGTTGTGTTAGTGTATGCAGTGTGTTTTGTGTTAGTGTATGCAGTGTGTGTGTTGTGTTAGTGTATGCAGTGTGTTTTGTGTTAGTGTATGCAGTGTGTGTGTTGTGTTAGTGTATGCAGTGTGTGTGTGTGTGTGTGTGTGTTGTGTAAATGTGTGATCTGGGGGGGGAGGGGAAAGAAGGGGCATTTTAACATTAATTTTTAATTAATTGAATTAAATGTTTCTCCCCCCTCCCTGCTTACCTGTGTCCATGGAGGGGGGAGATTCCATCCCTGGTGGTCCGGTGGGGGCCCCCCTCTCCCTGTTACCGCAGAGGGGGCCCAGGCAGCACACAGCTTCTCCTCTCTTCTCATAACTCTCGCGAGACCCGGTTACCATGGCAACGCTCCGCGGGTCTCGCGAGAGTTATGAGAAGAGAGAAGACGGGAGGAGAAGCTGTGTGCTGCCTGGCTGGGCCCCCTCTGCGGTAACAGGGAGCAGGGGGCCCGCGGCTGCACACATAGATCGCGATATTCGCTATCTATGTGTGCAGAAAGGGAAAGTGGGGCCCAGGACTGCCAGAGCAGTCCGGGCCCCCCAGGGCCGCCGGGCCCGTGACAACTGTCACGGTTGTCACCCCCTGATGGCGGCCCTGTACCTGGGATTCCCCTTCTAGAACAGACAAACAATGCATGTGCGTCCGGTTCTATATACAAGCAAGTCTGATGGTTCATGCTGACAGACTTTATACACAATGCGACTTGCCTGACCCCTTTTCTTAAAGGAGTAAAATTCTTACATCCCACAGGATGTGCAAGTTATCAGCAGATGGTGTGTCCAAGGACTTGATTTTATCACCTAGTATTTAAAAATCGATTTTTAAAATAGACTTCAATATGAAAATTGCTATTCTAATTATCAGATATATATTTATCCCTTGTCAAAATATAAATAAAAAATAACGCCATACGTTCTCCTAGATGTACTGACAACCATTTTATTCCCATCACCATCGATCTATAAAGAAGGGGTAAAGGGGCTAGCCTAATTATGCCTTTGTAGCTTATACAGAAAGAACGCTCTGACTCCTTTAACATTAAATAATAATGGAGTCAATTTACAAAATACGTCTCTACCATGCAAGAGATCAAGGTTACAATCTCTAAAGTGCCAAATGGATCAGCCTGAGTGTCCCTCCATTTGCACAGGTGATTTAATCAATCTATGAGGCAGCCTGGACCACCTGTGCTAAAGCAGTGATGCATACTAGTTGAGTGGAAGGTGGAGGGGGCAGCATTAATTATGTGGTGACCTCCCAGCTGTTATTTTTTTTGCTTTATACCCAGGAGGTTTTGCGTCAGATCATTAGGCTGCACTGCAATGATCATTAGAATTTAGCCTGATTCTATTTGCCTGGCAGAACCCTGTGTATCACTGGAATGACTGCACCAATATGTCATTGTAACTTTAAGGTGGAATGTTAGAGTAGCAGGCATTCTGAGCCCTCCCATCGAGGACGCTGATTGGACGGCAGGCAGCTTGTCCATCAGACAGGGGAGCAGAGCTGAATCCAGCAGTCTGCAGCAGCCTGTGTGTGTGTACAGGGAACTCAGTATCTCAGTGCTATTCGGGACCTCATCTTGGGAGGACTTGGGGGTCACCCTAAAAGCTGGATCTGTTCTTTGTAAACTATGGGATGACTATACCGGTCCTTATAGATGTGTCAGAGGATTTTACAAGCAGACACGTGTCTGTAGGATATTCCCAACACATGCATGTGGTCTGCCTTGCACTCCTGTGGGGAATGAGTTGATGGATGCAGACTGGGGGCATTATTAACTTTTGAGAAAGCAGAAGAAAAGTGAGTGTATTCACTGAACTCCTGGGGATCAAGAGGGCATTGACTGCTGCTGGCATGGAGTGTACAGGCTTAAATGTGAACCCCCTCCAAAAACAGCTGCTTTTTATCACTCGCTGAAGACCCCTAGTTTAATTTTAGCTGCAGATCACAGGGACCCTATGATGACTGAGTTTTGTGGAACATCTTGGGGGAAATTAAATGCACTTTCCCATGTCACTCAATGCTACCTGTCCTGCTTTGATGGGCATTGCTAAAGAAAAGCTAATATATGGGATTAATGAAAACTCCACAGCTGCTCCTAATGTGGAAGAATTAGGTAAGATTGGACAGACTGTATTCTACTTACAGCCACCGGGCACACAAAAGGTCTGTAGAACACAGGACCATTAAATGGCATATTTTCGTTACATTGTTTTTAATACTCGATTCTCTGTTACAGGGTCTCTGTTTCAGATGTCCTCATGCAAACACCTGCTTGGCAGGTATTGCTAAGACTCCTTTTTATTTAGAGTTCAGGATATCCCTGAGAGCCCTGTATTAAACACAATGTCTAGGTTACGAAGTTCTAAATTGATGGAATCCCAGTGAATGTGATTGTGTGTCTGTGCATTGCATTACAGTTTGCTAACCCTCTCCTTCACATGCTGAATGGGGAATGTCTCCTATTGGACAGGCGGACGCTGGGTATTGTTCTACTGTGACACAGGTAACTTATACTGTATGTCAGAGATTGCAATGCACACAGGCATTTAACCCTTTGCAGGTCTTGGGGTTTTTTAGTTCTTCATTAATTTCTGTTAACAATGTTTAGTAAAGCATTTCGGAATGCAGTGATTGTATCCCTTCTGCAGGGTACTGGAGTGCAAGAAGTGTACCTATCAGAAAAGGTTTGGGTTTTTTCCTCACCTATTGATTGGAGTTTCAACTGCATTTTTACCTGCAGTTGGCAGTAGTCCTAACTAGATCGGATTTTATGTATAAACAATCAGGACCCATATATTGGGATAAAGAGAAATAATTTATATAATATATATAATTTTTTTTTTCTTCATATTTGACATACACAATTTGTGTCCATCCTGTGCACCATTATTTAGGAATTACAACAGACACATGTTTAATATGTTATTAAACAATGCAAACGATCCATGATTTTCAGGTTTCCAAATTAATTTCCCTTATTATGTCTGAATATGTGCAGGAAATACATGACCTAATAGTTGGGGTACACATTGATGACTTAAGATCTGATTGCATTGTTTAATGTAACTTTGCATTTAATATTGGATCCTTTTTATTTACATTCCCTACACCATGCAGTATCTGCATTACATGAAATGTTTGCACTCTGCATGTTGAAGTTTGTCAAATATATAAAAAAAAAAAAAATTGTGTGTACCTAATTTTGCACTGTATATGCTGTTGTGCAGTTTTATTTCATTTTTATTTATTTTCAGTTAATCAGTTTAGTAATTCTGACATCTCCCATTTGTGGTAGTTTATTAGCTTTCTCCATCTGTGGTTCCTTTTTTATGCTCTCCTTGTGAATGATTCTATTTCTGCTGCGGATTGCTGAATTTTAACTTCCTTTCACACAGCTGCTGTGATTTAGGATTGCAACTGGGTACATCACACTATGGAAGTAAATCTGATTTATCTCTCCAGTAGGTCAAGTATTCATTTTATCCTACAAGATTCCTACTGGGCCTGTCTCTACTTTTACATTAGATTTAAAAAATGGGTGCGCTTGGAGTGTAAGGAGAGATGTGTGTATTTTTTTTCATAATCACAGCTTGATTCTTGCAGTACACTTAATGTACTGTGTTTTTTACAAAAGGTTAAACTACAGAAAGCTTGCCAGCTATCTGGTACATTATTAAAGTTAGTATTTGTATATATTTACTCTGTGGGATGTATTTACTAAATAGTGATTATTTTAAAGGGAAAAAAAAGAAAATATATAATTTTTGTTCCAAACCATTTTGGCCCAAATTAGGGAATCACACCTTTTTGATTCATCATAGTTGGCTCAATACTTAAACCCCAGGAAGTACCAAAACCTTGTAACTAGGTTTACCATTCCGTGTGTCCAGATTTTTGGGGCACTTGTAACTTGTTCACATAAAAAAAGTAATGTCTTGTCATAATCCTATCCATCACAAATTAATCCAATAACGAATCAATGTTGTCCTTTGGGATTTCTCATTAATTGATTTCATTCCTAAATCACATTACACATACATAACAGTGCTTTGCATGTACTGCCTATTAGCAAGAAGTGATATTGTACCTATTAAACTTCCTGGCTCTGACAACCCGATCCATAGCCCTTTATTGAAGTTATTTATAGGCTTCTGAGTTTTTGTTGTGTTCGTTTGTATCCCTGATTCATACAATGGTGTGCATAAAAATAACTAAAAATGGTGTGCTTGTTTAAATGGCACCCTTCTTGACCACAGGTGAATAATAAATATTTATGCGATTTATAATGGGGTTGCTAACATGTAAGGCATCTGAGTTGGATGGAAATATACAGATTGTACCATGTATGTGATAGTGGGTACTTTTGGTGTCTTGCAACATTGGTCCGACATGCCATGTTCCCTGCTCATACAAAACTCAATTATTATAGTTGTGTTGTGGGTGGCCAATATTCCCATAGAAGCGAGCAATCAACAAATGGACATTTTGTTAAAACTACACTTAGTCACCTGAGCAGTAAGCACGAGCTCATTTGGACCACACAGTTGTCACTTAGAATGATTAATTCTGTGTCTAACATGTAAGTCTATCAGCATCCACGTATTCCTGCAACATTAGGGCAAAGTTGGCCAAAACTGGCCGATCAGCATTTTAGAAGTTAAATATTCCATGTGGAATTATGGGAGTTGCAGTTATACACCAAGTGGGGACGCTAGGGTTTATCCACCCCTGAGCTAGTGCATATAGTCATCTCTGCTTGAATATAGGTAAGCCAGCAAATGGTTATTGAACTTTGTCAAACATACTAAGTGTTCATATATGGGATTGTCATGGCTGGTATCTAAGGGCATCTTTAGGGACTGATTTGGTAACTGCAGGTTTACAGTGTGTGTGTATGTATGTGTATATATTTAATCAATATAATCCGCTTTGGAATCACCAGCTTGCAAACTTTATCATAGCAGTTACATGGGAGCACTATACAATTGTTTCATTAAATAAGATGGTTTTTGTCCATTAATATGGAACCATTGTCAAGGAAAGGTATTCCCCATACCAGGGGAAGAAAATACTGACTGTATGTAAATTTAACATTGATTTCATAGAATATATGAGTGCTCCCACATTCAACTCTCTGTCTATGTCTCTCACAATCGGAAAGATTAATACATTTGGTGGTATTGTGCTACCTGATCTAGGTGTCTGATTATCTTTAATATCTGTGAGGAAAAACTTACAAACCCAAGTTTGTTTGTATTTTTGTTTCTCCTTTTTTAAATTTTGGCGTGCACCCACAGAGAGGAACACATATTGAGTCGGTGCACTGCAGGGGCCATTCAGCAAGCAATGTGTTATTTTTTTGTTTTTTCTTGTGACATTATTATTATTATTATTATTATTATTATTATTATTATTATTATTATTATTAGTTAAGATTTTCCAGTCTTCTACACATGATGTGCATATACCTAATCTCTCACATGCGCATCAAGTATTCCTTTTCTTGACGTAGTAAGAATGTTTGTCTTCAACAGCTGTATTGCCAGGGGGCACTTCATCTTGACCTCTATTCCGGTTTTGACCATTCATATGCTTCTGACTACATCAAGAAGAACTGCAATGTGTAATATGTTAGAAATGTTATTAATATTTGTCTACGATCAGCTGTTGAAGGTTTTTTGTGCTTTCATGAATGCTGCCATCTCCTTCTGACTTTTACATAGATTGACACTTTCAGGATCATTCACTTAAGTCAGAATTCAAAGTGAATTTCAAGTTTCAGGCCAAATTAATCAAACTGTAAGCACAGCTGGCTTAGAGAATGTTTCCAGTGTGGCTACTTTGGCCTTAAATTTGAAGTACACTTTGTAATGTCTCTTTAGTAATTAAAGCTTGTTTGTGTTTTCTATAATGGATCTTATTACTGGCTTTAGGCGGATGTACGCTGTCTGTTTTAGAAATTTCCTTCCGTAAAATGACTTTCCATAAATTTGACACATCTGTTTGCCTTGGCCACAGAAGCAGTTGAACAAGGAATTGGAGTTGTGGTCAACCTGGGATAATTTTGCTATGATTCATGGAATTACATATTTTCTATGTCATCAGAGACCTGATGGGGGATTTGATCGATGACATGCAGAATGTAGTTTGTTTTACTAAATCTACTACTGGGAAAGCACTCAGCATTGTGTGTCGTAGATCTATTGGGCAAATCAACATTTTTGTTATGGGGAAGAAATCCTGGCCAAACATTTGTTCCATGTGGGAACAAAAAATGGCTCCACACAAGTGGTCTTGCATTTATGTCGACATAATCAATGTTCATTTAATAGTGCAGTGTTAAAAGAAAATGTTTGTAGAAACTGGTGGGTTTTACATTCCATAATTTTCCTTCTCCATTTCCAGTTTTAGTGTCAAATCCGTCTTTTTGATAGTTGAAAGAAAACCACCCAGTCACACACACAATTCCAAAGTTGCAGGATTTTATTGGAGTGGAATGGCAACAATTTTGCTTCCAACACAAGCCTTTCTCATGGAAAACTCGTGTTTGGAATCAAAACCTTGGCACTCCACTTTGGATGCATCATATGTGACACGTTTTTGTTTTTTCTCTTGTATGGTTAAAGGATGTGAATTCTCCCTGGTTTTTGAGGCAGGACAGATTTAATCACCTTCTTAAGTGTGTGTGTGTGGTCCCTGTTTGCAAGTGTTTATTTTTTTATAAAGTTTATCATCTAGAGGACTGGGTTGGGAACCACTGATCTAGACTGTTACTTGGTTTTACTGATTTTCCCTCCCACTGCCCCACCAAAAATGTGTATTCTGATTTATAAAATAACTATTTTTTTAAAATGTATTTTTATAAGCTTATATGCAAACAGGAAAAGTTTTTGTGTCTGCTAGCTGGGTTGGCCCACCCTGCAGTTTGATTAACTGAACTTAGTCCACAAAGATAACAGTGAAACACTTGACAAAGCTTGCAAGAGTTACAATAAAATACATTTTATGAG